CTTCCCGAGGACCTGTGAGTAACAAAACTTTAAAGCTTGTTCCACCTTCTCTTTTGATCCGCATTTGGCCTCAGCATACCTCATCCAAGGTGATGTGGCTTAAACACTCAGGTAATCCTTAAAATAATCCATGGAGGAAGGAATTATTTTCGGAATTTTAGTTGCAGGAATTGAGGCCACAAAAGGTGAAATAACTTATTCAAGTTCGCAAGGCTAGAGAAGAATGGAGCTAGGACAATGCCTTGGCTCCGAGGCCTTGGATGGTTACACATAGAGTTGCCTCCATCCTGGCTTGCCCAGAACAGTTCAGGTTTATGGTAGACCACGTAACATCTGCTCGGTGTTTTTAGCGCCCCCTTTCACTCTCAGATGTGTCTATGATTGGGCAGGATGAAATGACACCACCTCAGCATTCATAACCCATCCTGCAGGGAGGATGCTTGCGCAGCAGTCGTCACGATCCAGTAAGAACGGCATTACTGGAGCAGCGTGTTGAAGTGGGCACAGGTAAACTGGAGAAAGGGAGACCGTGTACCGGCCAGTGTGTAGAACTGTTGGCGAGTTTAAGGAGCGTGTTTGGAAGGGATGGAAGGATGAGAAAACTGAAGGACAGGATATAGAGATGTAGTTAAGATCTTAGACAAAGAGCAACTGATTCACAATGGTGTTAACAGACATGAGTGATTGTATTACAGCCCAGATCAACAACTGATGCTCACTATGTTTAATTCTGTTCAATCGTTTCGGTTTAAAAGCCAGGGAAGTAAATAATATATTTTAGAAGTGTGCTTAGCCAAAATAGTAACTTTTAACATAATGTAAAATAATGTACATTTAAATTGAAATTTTAATGCAAATTAAAATTTTTAATCACCACCGAAATAAGTTTTCCTCCATTTTCCAAAAACCTCTCTTATATGAAACACAACCCATACTATGCTGTAAGCATTTTAATTAACTTTGGTTTTATTTACTTAAACTGAGAAGTAATTATATAAAAGTATTAATTATAACTATAATAGTTATAATTGATGACAAAAATATGTGAATATTCACTTATTGTGAAACTCTTGAGGTTGGTTTATCAGTTATTGTTATCTATATTTTAAAAATTATGAAACTGATATTCAGAAAAGTTAAATGTCTTGACAAATCTACTAAATGCCAGAGCAAGAACTCAAACCCTGGCCTTCTAAATGAAGACTCTTAAGTTCTTTCCACCTCACCAGTCTTCTCCTCATTTGTTTGTTCACGCATTCATTCATTTATCCAAAAACATTTATTAAGCCTCTATTACATTCTAGATATTTTGCCGGGCATAGTTATACACAGAAGGGCAAAATTCACCCTTGGAATTCAAACTCTTTGAGGACCCAGATATTAAAAACAAAACAAAAAAATGAAACAGTGGTATAATTTAAGTGCTGCCATACACATTTGCAGCAAGTACCATGAACTCCCAAGTGAAGGGCAGAGGGCATTGATCCTGCCCGATGAGGACCAAGGATAAGGAGCTTTGAAAGTTCACCTGCAGAGATTTGGGGACAGGCCTTCTAGGAGGAGAAAACAATGAGACCACAGGCTTGACGATTCAGGTGTCTGGGGAGAATGAGCAACAGGATGTGTCTGTAGCATGGGGTGGAGGAAGCTGAAGGCAACACTGAGCTGGCCCAGGGCCTTGGCAACGATGCTCACTAGCTCGGTTTTGTGAGTCATGCAGGAGGGTTAGGTGTGGAGTTAAAGCATCAAAACTGTATTTTAATAAGATCATGTGCTTTCAGTTGGGAGAGCAGAGACATGAGATGAATGGCAGTAATCCTGGTGAGAAACGACAAGAACTTGAGCTAAACCACACTGAGAATGGAGAGTTGGGGTCTTTACTTGCAAGATCAGTGGTGGGTGACTAAGCAAACATAATGCAGAGCAAAGAAGTCAGATCCAGTAATGTTCATACTGCGTGATTTCATTATATAAAGTACAGGACACCACAGAACTAATCTGTGTGTTAGATCAGCTAGTGATTACCCCTGGGCCATGGTAACTGCTGGAAGGAAGGTGCCTCTGGGTGGTGGTGATGCTCTGTCTCTGCATCTACAAGCCTGGGTGTGGTCCCTGCGAAATTCATCGAGCTGTGCACTCAGGATGTGTGCAGTCTTGCACATAGAATCAATACTTTAGTGTAAAAGTCAAACAAGGAGACAAGGAAGTTTGCGATACTACCGAAGTTGCTAGCTGAGGAGGTGCTCTAGGAAAGACAGGAAGACAAGGATGGAAGGATGAACAGATTTGGAATGGAAGACGTTGCATTCTAATTTCATGCGCTGAGTTCTCCGAGAGGTGTGCAAGTTATTAATGGGATGATGTTCAGCAAGCAGGTCTTGAGAGTAAAGTCATTGATATATTTGTTAAAAATTATTTTTTAAAAGTTTCATATTAAAAATGTGACCACGCCAGATCAATCTGGCTCAACTTTTACATCACAAAGTTGTGAGTCATTTTTCTGCTGCCACAGGCCCCCAGGTTGAAGGTCATGTCACCTGAGCTTGCCCAGATGAACCCAAGGTACAACCACAGGCAGAACCTAAGTGCCTGGACCAAGGAGGAGGGACTGCATGAAGCAGCAGACACTACATGACAGGACCCACTCAGATCTTGCCCCAGTATCCTCTGACAATAAAACCACTCCAATGCCCTTGTTCAGGGACATGCTGCTCTGGGAACTGTCCCCTGTGTGCTCCTTACTTGTGCCAAGTAATAACAAGTAATAACCTACCTGGATGTGCCTTTTGACTTGATACCTGCTGAACAAACAAACCCCTTCCATTTGGGAGGTAACAAAAGCACATGCATAATCGAAAATAGAAGACTCAACTATCACTATTCTTATGTCAAAGTTTTTGGTTTTCTTTTCAACTTTCTTTAGTTACTGTGTCTGGAAAAACCAAATTCATCAATGCTTTGGACAAACTAAGAAAGTGGTACAATCTTCCCAAACTGCCTCTTTACAGCAGCAGGTGGAACAGGGACCCGCACCTGGCACAGACCTCTGCTCACTCAGAAGTTTGCTCCACCAACCCCCGGCTCCAGGCAGCTCTATGGTTTAGGAAGTCCTGGGCACCTACCCCAAAATCCACCCCTCCAGAATGCCCTACTCGCTTTGCGATGGGCAATGGTGATGGAGAGTTCTGGAGAAGCCCTCCGGACTGTGCATGTCCCCAGCCCCCTCTTGTCTCACCCCACTGTCCTGCGGTTATCTTGATTTCTGCCTGGGACAAGGGACTCACCAGCCTCCTTAAGCAACAGCAGTCCTCTCTTGGCCTCCTCGAGGGGCAGCACGAAGGACGTTTTGGCCGTGTGGAAACAGAACCCACACTTGTAGTTGCACTGGCGCGTGAAATGGTAGTTGACACTGGTGGGGGTGGTGGGCAGAGGGATGTCCTCTTTCTCTTCCTCTCTGGTCTCATCTGGCTCTTTCCTGATCTGCTGCTGCTGCCTCTCGGTGCCTGGCAACCAGAGTACTGTCTTCAGCCAGCAGAGCAGAGGGACCAGGCTCCGCCAGAGAGAGCTCAGAGGCTGCCTGAACGTGCTCAGCATCTTTCCAGCAAAAGCGGTGGGCACGAGGGTCCACATGATGCCCTGGACTGCCCTGCACCCGGGGAGACACGCTTTATATGGGGATGGAAACTGGCAGCTCTGAGCAACCTGTCCCGGGGGGGAAGGACACACCTTTTTTGACAAACAGTCAGCTGAGTTAGAGTTTTGATTTTCTCTTCTGGAAAACGAAAGTTGAAACACGGCCAAGAAAGCCGACGGTTCAGAAGGAGGGCCAGCACGCCGGCTTTCTCTGCCCCAGGCTCGGCCTCAGTCCACTTGTCTAGTAACAGTCTTTCGACTCCAGGTGGTGACAGATGAAGATGCCGATATCCGTCCAGAAATCCATAGTACGACACGCTCTTTATGTCTGCGTTACTGTCTCCTGAATTGACCCCAAACAGCCTCCACCCTGTCATCCTTCACACGGGGGTGGGGGTGGGGTTCTCAGGGAACGTTTGCTGTTAAAGCCAAATAAGGAGCAGAGTTGCAGACCCACATGGGGGGCTGCGGAACCGTTAGCCTCAGGGACCCCATTCAGACGCAGTAAAAGGCACAGGGACACGGTGGAATTTGTGTCTTAACCCCCTTTGGTTATTCAGCTTCATTTATGTCCTGTAAAGTGCATTGATACAGTGTCAAAGGTAGACGTTTAGATTTTCCTGCAGATTCCTTTCTGTATTGTTTCTGATTGATATTTCCACCCAGGAAAAATTGGCTGTTTTTCCAAGTTACTTCCTAAATTGGCGAGAATCGCTGTGACTCATCACTTATTTATCTTTCCAGTTTTCTTAGAAAGTGTTGTCGACTCTTGTACCGAAGTCTTCTACCTTCCAGCACTCTTTACTCACAACTGTGCTTCAGCCTGTGGTCTGAGGCTGTCATGAGACCTGTGCAAAGTTGCAATGGTCCTAGTGGTTAGGCTTCTGGAGCCACAAACCCAAGCTGTGTGCCTTTGACTAAGTTACTTCACTTCTCTGGTCCTCCATTGCTCATTAGCAAGTGTCTTCTGCAGATTTTTGTGTAGATTGAAAATGCTAATTGATGTGAATCACTCAGAAAAATGCCTGGTAAACTTTAAGTGTTCAGTAAGGGTTAGATATTTTTATTCTAATAATGTCATATTCTGAACGGAAACAGAAATAACTTTCATTTTACTTAAAAGGAAACTGAAAGCAAATTCTGCAAACTAGCAAGTGTATGTTTGATTACCGGCTATGCAACAATGGATAAATATTACCCAAGTCCTTAGAGTCTTCTTTTAAAGTCTCATACCATGGTCTGGCTCAACTGAAAAATATTATTTGCTAGATCACGTGAGTATGAGGAAATGAAAACCAAGTCAGTTTATGTTTCAAGTCAAATATTACAGATAGCACAGAGGGTGACAATGCAGGCTTTTTGAAGCAAAAGTTTGAAGGATTGAATCCTAGTTCAGCCGATATTGTGTAATTTTCAGCAAAAGTCTTTACCTGCTTGATCTTGCTAGGACATCTGGGAAATAAGGATAGTAATGTCTAAACTACACAAGGAATTTGAAATTGTAACGAAATGTATACTAAGCAATGAGAGTAGTGCTTGGCATAATATATTAGAAACATTTAGCATATATATAGCACTGTGTGCCAGGCACTAGATTTTACTTTGCAGGTACTTATATCACACAAGGAGTAAAGATTGGAACCGGGATTTAAGTACCTGCAATACTGCTCAATAATTAATCATTATCATGCTATTTTATTATTGCTTCTTAAGTCTACTCTATCCAGGACAGTTTATTTCATTCCTTCAGTCATTATTTAGTCATGCTTTCCTTTTTCTTCCTTTCTTCTCTTCTTTCCTTCCCTCAATAAGTTTATTGAGAGCCTCCTATGTATCACATAAAAATGTTCATAAATATGAATAAAATGTAAATGCATAATTCAAAGTCCCTGCTGTCAAGGAGCTCACAAAAGTCGTCAGTCCCTTTGGTACTCTGAACACAGGCTTATTCTCTCATAGCTTCTCTTCCCCACCCGTCTAAGAACAGAGCTCAGAAGAGTAGACTTGCTTTGGAACTTATTGAATTAATAAAACAGATGCCTTAATGCCATAGGTACAGATTTTATAGCTGTAAGTGCAAACTAAGGGCCTCCACAGACAACTAAAACCTACGGCTTTGACCTTTTGACAAATTTGCTTGCCTGCTCTTCATATCATGGAAATAAATTGGTTTTAATTACCAGTTCCCTGATGCTAATGATGTTAAGCATCTTTTTATGTTTGTTAGCCATTTGGGTATTCTCTTTTGTGATGTGCTTGTTCAAATCCTTTGACCATTTTTGTATTGGGTTTTCTGTATGTTATGATTGATTTGTAGGAAATCACTATATAGTCACTTTGTTGGTTATATGTATTCTAATAGTGTCACATTCTGAATGGAACAGAAATGACTTTCATTTCACTAAAAATAAGCAAGTGTATGCTTAACGATTACCAATTGTGCAATGATGGATACTACCCAAGCCCTTGAAATCTTCAAGTGTATGTATATATATGCACTTTGCTGGTTATATGTATTGCAAACATCTTCTTTAACTATCTAGCTTTTCTTTTTACTAATTTATGGCCCCAAAGTTGTAATTGTGTGTGTGTTTATATAAATGAAATGTAATATCAATATTAAAGTGCTTCAAAATAAGAGTACTGTTCCTTGAAATTTTTATTTATTTTTCATTTAGCATGTGTGCGTATGCATGTATTGGGCTGCATTTTAGAAGTTTCAAGACCACCTTCATGTTTGCCGATTCATTAAAAGCACTCGTCAGACGCGGTATCGGGTTACACTCACAGCTGGGGTTTATTTCAGTGAAAGGAGGCAGAGCCAGAGTGGCAGGAGAACGATGTTAGCCGTGATGTTAGCCGCGCAGAGTCTGGAGCGGGCAGGCATGAGCGGTTGGGGCCTTCACTGTCTGGATAACATAGGATGTCCTTTCTCCCCAGCAGTGAACTGCAGGGACATGTTTGAAATCGATGGCCAGGAAGGCCTGCTGGAGGCCTGCTGGTCAGGCCCTGGGTTCTAGAGAAGGCAGGACACGGGGGCTGCTGAGTCCAGCCACGGGAGCCAAATCTCAGGACAGCCTCAAACTCCTGGGATCAAGTGATCCTCCTGCCTCAGCCTCCCAAGTAGCTGGGACTACAGGCACCACCACGCCCACTAATTTTTCTGTTTTTAGTAGAGACGGGACGGGGTCTTGCTCTTGCTCAGGCTTGTCTCGAACTCCTGGCCTCAAGCGAACCTCCTGCCTGAGCTGCCCAGAGTGCCAGGATTATAGGTGTGAGCCACCGCAACCGTCCTCATTGTTTTATTTTCTAATACTCAAACTTATTAATGTAGAATTGTATGTAATACTCTCTTTTTGGTATCCTTTTCAATCTGTAGTTCTATCCTCTCATGTATTCCTATTCTGATTTGCATTTTATTTCTTTTTTTCCATTTGAATAAACTACCTAGAAGCATATCTATGTAAACAGATTTAAAAAACTAAGCATTTAGTGCATGAGGATTCATTTAAAATAAATAAAGAATAAAAACTAAGCACTTTTACAAAATAAATGATTTTTTAATATTTATTATTATATTTATATTTGTTAATTCTCTCTCTTTCTTTTTTTCCTTTGAGCAGAATGGCTAGAATAGTTTCATTTTTCCTTGTTTAAACCTATGACTGTCGAAGACCATGGCTTTTCTTATGACTACCGCTGTGCTATTCATTCATTCAAAGATACCTCCTTGAAGTACCTTCCCAGCTTGCAGCTGTTATCCTTTCTACCCACAAGGGTGGGTCGAACAGGCAAGTTTATTCAATCTAAACATCCATCTGAGACCATCAGAGTCTCTGTGCTAGGAATTTGTAGGGGCTCACAAAGGTAACAGAGATTTTCTTTTATGAATGAAGATACTGTATCTTCAATATCTTCAACACTTGTTGAACATTGACCGAGTCCAGATACTACAGTATCATTAGTTTTACATCTCCTCGTAGTGCGAAGGCAGGTGAAAATGGACAGGAAAACTTAGGAAAATATATGATGATAGACAGCAAACTATGTGCCAGGGTATCTTTCCCGAGTTGGAGGCTCATGGGGAATTAGGAATAAGCTAGACTTTCTGCTTACCCTCAAGTGCTCAGGGGAGGGAAGCAGACTGGCAAGTGGGTAGTGACTGCAGTGTGTAAAGTCCTATGATACAAAGAACCTTGAGGGAGCACCGGGGAGAGGCTGGTAACCCAGATTTGGTGGGTGGGGAGTTATAGGCTATATTGTGCCCCCTGAATTCATATGGTGAAGCCCTAACCCCCAGTTCCTCACGATCTGACTGTATTTGGAAATAGGGCCTTTAATGAGAGGATTAAGATAAAATTAGACTGTAATGGTGACCCCTAATCTAATCTGCCTGGTGTCCTTCTTGGAAGAGGAAATTTGGACTGTCAAGGAGACACCATGGATGCATGCACAGAGAGAGGACCGGGCGAGGACACCCTGAAATCGTGGCCATCTGCAAACTAGAAAGACAGGCCTCAGAGGAAGCAACACCCACCAGAGCCCCGATCTCTGGGACTTCTGGCCTCCTGAACTCCGAGAAAATTAATTTTCTATTGTCGAATCTGCCCAGTGTGTGGTATTTTGTTATGGCAGCCCTAACAGACAAACACATCCTGAGAGGGGGGTGGTGTGGGGAAAAAGTCAAGAAAGCCTCACGGGAAGACACAGTACTGTCTTACTGAAGAAAAAGGATTACAGCAAGACTCCTACTTTCATACATTTCGTACACGTGAAAACACCTACACACACTGAATGTCCAAAACTCAAATTGCTCATAGACAATGAAAACGATTCCATTCTCGAAGAGCTAAAAACATCTTAAACTCCTAACTATTCTTAGCCTATTAACTTATACTTCAGCCACATATCTATAATGTTTCATGTATGTTAAAATGATTTTTTTCAGAATTAAACATAATTCCAAACTTAAGTCCAATTCGATTAAGACATAAAAATTTTAATTGCTTTCAGCTCACCTAATGTTTTCCATCTTTGTCTCAAGTCAAGATTTTTGAGAGATTTTTCCCATGGAATATTATTATCTATTTTTGTTTTTTGTTCGCTTGCTTATCAATTTTAAAAAGACGCAGTTAATGGGTAAGAACAGACTAAAATGTCCATATAACTGAGTAAAACATCGTTACAGGAAAGCAGCAATACTGCTGATGCCGGACTTGTGTTTGGCAGAGCACGCGATCATGCTACATGTTACTTACCTCTTTTTACTTCCATGCAGGAAACCTTAACTTGGTGTATGAAAAGCAATTTCAAGGTGCCAATCGGTGCAATACTTCCCAGTTTGAGAGTCAGTAAATGGGGGAGGGTAATTCCAAAAAGCGGGAAAATCTTGTGCACAGGTGAGTGAAGTGCACAAGTGAATGAAGTGTACAGGTGCAGGCACAGGTGAGTGAAGGCATAGCTGAGTGAAGTGCACAGGTGAGTGAAGGCACAGGTGAGTGAAGAGCACAAGTGAATGAAGTGTACAGGTGCAAGCACAGGTGAATGAAGGCACAGTTGAGTGAAGGCACAGGTGAGTGAAGAGCACTCCGCGATCAGGCAGGAAAAGCAGCTGTGTGGGACTGGAGGGTAGAGGTGGGCTGTCCAAGTTGGGAATTGAGGTTAGGGGAGCGGCTCCTAAGTCATCCAGGCGTAAGCAGCCTGCAAAGCCCGTGGGCAATGCCAGAGAGATGGTTACATCCAGGAGAGACCTCTCTGTCCTTCTTTTCCTAGTGCGCACGTGGACCCCCCCGCCCCCCAATACACTGGGCATAAACTACAGAGGAGAAATTCAAACCAGAGTCAGGGGGACACCTGCCACCCACAGAACACAGCCACCGAGCTACCGATGGGCCGAGGAGAGCTCAGGTCCTCATTCGGTGCCCCCTGAGGCCCCGAGACCCGCTAAGGCGGATGCCATAGGCCGGGGCTGCGACAGTCCCTGGGAGCTGGCGCCTGGGGACAGCTTAGGCCGGCGAAAACGCGCGCCTGGGCCCCAGGGCCGAGCGTTTCCTCCCCCAGCGCCGGCTGTTTACCGTGCAGACTTCGCGCTGAGGAGGCCGGGGAGGGCGCCCCAAGCCCCAGGCCCCTTCCCCGGAGGGCGTCCCGCTTTCGTTTCCCGGCCGCGCTTGGCTTTCGTTTCCCCGCGGCGCCTCCCTGCCGCACCCCCCGCGCCGGTTTCGTTTCCGAGGCGCGGCCGAGGGCGGGGTCGCTGCGGCGCTCATGGCCTTCGCCCGCCTGCGCGCCCGACTCCTGCTCCGGCGACTCTCGGGGCCGCTGCGCGCGCGGCGCGGGGTCTGCGCTCGGGCCATGGCTCCGCCGTGTCGCTTCGCCCTGGAGCTCCCCGACTGCACTCTGGCCCACTTTGCCCTGGGAGCGGACAACCCAGGCGACGCGGACGCCGGGGACGCGCGCCCCGATCCCCGCCTGGCGGTGCTGCTGGGGCCCCCGGGGCGGAGCTACTCCCTGTGCGTGGCGCTGGGCCCGGAGGTTGGCTGCAGGGCCAGGGTCCGGGGAGCACGGCTGCACCAGCGCCTGCTGCACCAGCTGCGCCGCGGCCCCTTCCAGCGGTGCCAGCTGCGCAGGCTGCTCTGCTACTGCCCGGGCGGCCAGGCCGGCGGCGCGCAGCACGGTTTGCTGCTGCGCGACCCCAGCGATGGTCCGGACACCCGGTGCGCTCTGCTCGACCTGCTGGGCACTTGCGAGGAGGCCCCGCGCCCGCTCCTGGGCGAGTTCGAGGCCGACGCGCAGGGCCAGCTGTGGCAGCGCCTCTGGGCGGTGCAAGACGGCAGGCGGCTGCAGGTGGGCCACGCGCGCGTCCTGCCCGCCCCGGAGCCCCCACTGCACCCGGTGGTGCCCGACCTGGCCAGCTCCGTGGTCTTCCCGGACCGGGAAGCCGCCCGAGTCGTTTTGGAGGAGGTAAGAGTTCTGTCCCTTCCCAGCTCTCAATGTGGCATCCACACCTTGTAGACCAGAGACCTGCACCAAGCAGCTGGCCTCTAAAGACCTGTCCTGCCTGGGTGCTTTGTTCATGCGCATTCACGAATTAGTCCGGGAAGGTGTCCTGCGTGGCAGGCTCTGTATTAGACTTTGTGCGTCTTTTAAGATTCTTGTTTGCAAGGATCTTCCACCCTGATGTGGAGCGCATCCCAGCACCGAGCAGGCGCTGCTTGCTGTGCTGTAAATGCAAGCTGGAAGTATGCAGAAGGAGTCAAGAGGCCACTGGGGATGGTGGAAGACCATGTCCTCTAGGAAGTAATTCAAGGATCTTGGGGTGTAGAGGAAAGTGTGGGAGTTTGGGGGGTTTAAGAAACTTAGACTTGAGTAGTGCCTACCTGCTTACTGGCGGTAGACCTTGTGCGAGTTACTCAACTACTCTACATCTCTTTTCTTTTTCTCTGTAATACAAATTCCTGTCTTGCAGTGTTGCTCAGATGAACTGACTCACAGCAGGTGCTCAAGAAAGGAGATTGAAAATTCTTTCTGACCACAAGCCAAGCTAGCCAGATGTGGCCTCCCGAGGATGCCCTGTGGGTCTCCGAAATATTATATTTTACCAGATTATGGGACAGGGTTGTAGAGCAGTTAAGAGTGCAGGGTCAACCACACAGTATTGAATTCAAACTCTGACATTTATTAATTGTGTCACTTTCAGCAAGTTTCTTCAACATTCTTTGCCTCTGTTCCTTTAATCCATAAGGTAGAAATAATAATAGTATCACCTTCACAGAGTTATCATGGAGACTGGCCAACTTAATATTTGTAAAGCACTTAGAAGATTGCTTTGCTTGGAGTAAGCACATAAATAACAAATAAGTGTCTGGGCCTCCTCGTGGAGATGCCCTGAGCCGCAGTGAGGTCATGCACAGCTAGGAACTTTGAATTCCCAGCAGGACATTCCTCTGCTAGCTGCTAGCATCGTGATTGCAGTGCTGGGCACTTTTCTCAGCCCCCTGCGTGGTTAGGAGAGGACGAGGTGCAGATGCAGACTGCTCTCTTTACAGCCTGTAGTGTACCTGATTTCTCACACTTGTGACAGACTGTCCTAGGTGGGCCTGTAGTTCAAGGTTGCTGTTTACACAGCACGCGATTGTGTGCCTTGCCTGGCCTTCCTCCTATAGGGGAAGTGGCTCACCGAGGGCTACAGGCTGAGTGATCCAGCTACTCAGTATAAAATAGAGCAGTCCAGCCTGTCCCAGCTTCAAAGTACTCTGAGTTCTATAAGACTGGCACGGTGCTCAGTGTAACTTAGTCCTTATTAGCATTTGGTGATCTTGTCCTCAGCCATTTAGATGTGGTTTCTGCAAAAGCTCCATTGCTTCGTTGCTGATGGACAGACATTGTTTTACAGTGTACACCCTTTATTCCTGAAGCCCGGGAGGTGCTTGAGCTGGTTGACCGGTGTCCGAAGCAGGTCCAGAGAGGAAAGTTCCCGGTTATTGCCATCGAGGGACTGGATGCCACTGGTAAGAGAACAGCACGTTTTAGTTATAGGCAATGACCTTGATCCGTCACAAAAATAGAAATAGTTCTTGCAAAGCCACACTTTAAACGGAGTCTGATGTGTGCCTCTACTATGCGGCGGGCACTGTGCCAGGCAGGCCGTGGGATGCAGAGATGAGTAAGACCTTCAGCGCGAAGCCGCGTGAGGAGCGGGAAAGCCGAGCCCTGTGCTCTGGGCAACACAGGAAGGGCACTGAATCTGGCCGCTGAGGGGGATGTGGGAGGTGGATGCATGGTCAGGGGAGATACCTGGTTGTGTTTTAAGTACAGTTAGGAGTTGATCAGGTGACGAAAGCAAGAAAAGTCCTCCAGGAAGAAGAAATAGCACAGGCAAAGTGTAGACTCCTGAATCGGCGAGGTGTGTCTAGGAACTGTTTTGGAGCAAAATGTGGAAGAACTAGGAAACGGAGGGAAAAAGTCTTTTGAGCTGTCAAACAGATGTCAAAATACAGTGGGCGTGCCCACACTTTGACCAAAACGAAAAAGGGGGAGAGGAGCTGCTCTGTGGGCGCAGGAGACACCGAGGAGAGGGTTGATCTCCGGGAGGCTAACATCCATGTGGTTCAGCACAAGGAGTTTCTCTTTCCCGTGTCAACCTGAGGGGTGCAGATTTTTATTTTTGAAAATGTAAAAGGCACTTTCCACGTAGGGGCCCTCTGTGTATGCATCTAGGTTGACTGTGGCTCAGGCGACTGCTCATGCTGACTGCCCTGGCCCATCTGAGTGATCGGGCCGTGCCCTGGCCTTCAGGGAGACCGGCTGTCCTCACTGGCGTGTGCTGGCTGGGCGCAGCCCAATTGTAGATTTTTCAGTGACAGAGGGAATTCTAACAGCATCAATCCTTCAGCCAGTGTGTTTTGTTGATCATTTATTTTGTACTAGAGCTAATTTAGATTCGGTGGGGTTACAAAACATAAAGATTTAGCCTCAACACAGGCATCCACACACACAATTTGCAAGGAGATTGGATGGAGTGGCAAAAAGAACATGAGCTGGTGACTCTGTCTGCCGTTCGTGTGCACCCTGGGCCCAGGCCCTCTGCAGGGTGAGTTTGAGTACATTTGTTAACTTCTCCAGTGTCAATTTCTTCATCTGTAAAATGATTAAATATTAACTGTTTTGCAGCGTCATTGGGAGAATTAGAAGCAGGATATGTGTGGTGCGCATGGCTCATAGTAGACATTGAGAAATGGTGGCTACTGTTAGGATCCCTCTTGACACCCCAAGGAGAAAAATAAACAGTTGATAGTAAAGTGTTAAGTGTGAGCCAGAGAAAAATTAAGTCTAAGTGGCAGGAGCTCAGAGAAGCCATCGAACAGCGACTGAGAGTAGATCATATTCTCGTTGCCCATCCTGTGCTCCAGGCAGCCGCTAAGAACTAGGAGATGGGTCCCCAGAGGTCGCCAGGTACGTCACTGAGGCTGCGCAGAGGCAGCCAGAATGTGAGGCAAGAGTGGACCCTGCCTTTAAAAAGGAGCTGGCAGCCTAGAGGCAGACACAGAATATCTAACGGCCACGCCCAGAGGGGCGAGAGCAGGGGCAGTGGAAGAGCGAGGTGGGCGACCGGGTGAGAGGACGAGCAGTAGCTTGGACCAGAAATAAAAATAGCACATTAAAGGGGCTGTGGTTTCTGGACCTCTGATGCTGAGTTTACCATTAGCCAGGGTTTTCCTCCAAGTATTCTGATACCAAACAGACGAATCCTAAGCTCCCGTGGGTCTGCAACTGTTTATAATGCATTATATCATTTCATCAACTCCTTTGATTTTGCAGGTTGAAAGAATTTCTCTGCTCTTTCTAAGTTAATATTAACTTTTGGGCATGGTATGGTGGCTGTGGCTAAGCTGGGCTATGTTTTGTGTACGACCTGCAGGTAAAACCACAGTGACTCAGTCGGTTTCAGGTTTACTCAATGCTGTCCTCTTAAAGTCACCACCCTCTTGCATTGGCCAGTGGAGGAAAATCTTCGATGATGAACCGACTATCATTAGAAGAGCTTTTTACTCTTTGGGCAATTATATTGTGGCTTCTGAAATAGCTAAAGAATCTGCCAGATCTCCTGTGATTATAGACAGGTATGTATACAAATGCCTTAAATTAGGCATTTTCTCCCTAACGTATAATTGTATGTGTGTAGATATATATGCAAGTACACAACTGTGTTTGTCAGACTGTATTATGATAATAATAGGAATAATGTCTGGGATTTATTAATTACTTACAGCTGTACCTGACATTTGCTAAAAGCATTACATACATTATACTAATATCTGGAACAACAACTTCAGTAGGTGGATATTAAATGCTATCCCCACTTTACTGATGAGAAACACAGGTCTTAGAAAGGTTAAGAACCTTGCCACAGTGACTGAGCTACGATTAGCATATTGAGGATGTTAACAAAGTGTCTGCTTCACAAATCTATACTTTTAGTGGTTCATTTGCTCATTGGCTTATTCAACAGATACCTATTGGGCACCTACTGTGTGCCACAGACTGTTCTCAATTCGGGGTTCAGTGCGGTAAATGAGAGAGATGATACCCTGCTTTCGTAGAGCAAACATAGCATTGCAGGAAAGATAATAACCCAGTGAACAAACACAGAAGATAATATCAGAACATGATAAATGCTAAGAAGAGAGCAAAGTGACGGCCTAGAAAATGGCTAAAGCCCCACTAGGTATGGCACAGGAAACCTGTCTGAGAGGGCACTGCTAGTCTAAGCTCTGATCAGAGAGCCGGGTGCAGAAATCCCAGAGAAATAGAAAGCACTGTGAGGGGGGAACCGCAAGGGCAAAGCTACGACAGAAAGAAGCTGACGCACTTGACGACTAGGAAGGGCCAGCTTGCGGGAAACACAGGGGAAGAGGGGTGCGTTCTGGTGATCAGGAAGAGAAGGGCAGGGGCGGATGGGCAGGGTTTGCAGGGCCTCGTGAAGAGCGGATTTTATTGTGAGTGCACTGGGAGCCATTGGAAGGTTTCAGATAAGGGAGAGATGTAGACTGATTTATATTTTTAAAATTCCACATGCAAGAAATATTAATAGCTTTAAAATGCTATTGGAATGGAGAAATGCTGTAGCAAGCAGGTCACACCGAGCATACAGCACCAGGACTCGGAGATGGGGAAATCACAGCCACCAGGAGATTCCATTTGGTTCCCATCGGATTGGTGAAAACCATTACAATTAAAAGTTTCCTCATACCCAGGCTTGGAAATGATACGGATGGCTAGGAACTCTGATAGCATGCTGGCGGGAGATGGATACTGGCACAATCACTTGGAGAACAATTTGAGAAGAGGTAGCAAAGTGAAAGATTGTTTCCACCTACTGAAGGAACCTCATAAAAGTTTATTTCAGCTTCGTTCATACGATTGCAAAATTTTGAAAACCTAAAGCTCATCAATAGGAGAAAGGGCAAATAAATACTAGCACATTTGCGAGGTGGAGTACCATACAGCAGTATAAACACGTGCAACGCATCAGTGTGTGCAAATTACAAAAGCATAATGTTGAATGAAAAATAGTCACGTTGCAGGAAAATGTTCCATAGAATACAGGCACAATGATACATACTGCAGAGAACACAGAGATGCAAGGATGTTGAACACCGAATGCAGGAGAGCTGTCCTCTGGGAAGCAGAGAGAAATGCAGCTGATACGGGGTCCAGAAGGGCTTCAATTTCAATTGGTTAATTAACATTACTCCATTGTTCTTTTTATTCTCTCTGTCGTTTTACTTGTTTTTAGAAAGGTAAGCCATTGCATTCGAGTGTGACATTTAGAAAAGAGCATTAATCAAAAATGTAAATCTCAAGGAACTCCAAGAAGTGAACACATCCAAGTCACCTGTGCCCAGATCAAGAATGAGAGGCCGGGCGCGGTGGCTCACGCCTGTAATCCTAGCACTCTGGGAGGCCCAGGCGGGTGGATCGTTTGAGTTCAGGAGTTCGAGACCAGCCTGAGCAAGAGCGAGACCCCGTCTCTACCAAACATAGAAAGAAATTAATTGGAAGCTAAAAATATATATAGAAAAAATTAGCCGGGCATGGTGGCACATGCCTGTAGTCCCAGCTACTTGGGAGGCTGAGGCAGTAGGATCACTTGAGCCCAGGAGTCTGAGGTTGCTGTGAGCTAGGCTGATGCCACGGCACTCTAGCCTGGGCAACACAGTGACTCTGTCTCAAAAAAATAAAAAATAAAAAAATAATGAGAGCCTTCCATGGCCTCTGCCCTGCCCCCTACCCCAGGCACTGCCCATTCTGCTCCCAGAGGTGGCTACTATCCCCACTGTCACTGCCATCTCTTAGTTTTGCCTCATCTTGAACTGCCTGTAAGTGCAGCTATACATAAGTATGGAGTGCCGTTTGCATCTGACTTCTTTCATACCACATGTGTTTTTAAGATTCGTCCATGTTGCTATGAACTTTATTTTACACACCTTTATTGCACATAGGTATGCAATTCTATTGCATAGATTCCCAGGAGAGGAATTCCAGGGATATGGGATTTGTGGATGTTCAGTTTTTTAGGTATTGCAAGTTTTCTAAAGAAGTTTAAAGAATTTCAGGTCTCCTCACCTCCCCACAGCACTGTTTGAGAACTCCCTGTGACTCAGAGCCTGATCAACAGTTCACATGGCCAAGCTTTAATTTTAACTCTTCTAGCATTTCCACTTGTTGCTGGCGGGTCAACTGGTCAGTTAAAAATCCAGTTTGCCATAACTGATCCCAGAACTTCTACTCTTTTCTTGAAATAATATTTTTCTCTGTACACGTTTCTGTTTGTCTGAAATACTCCATCAGGAGATCATCTCCAGTGTATGTAGAGAATGAAGTGTACAGTGTCGGGGGAACAGAGAATGAAAACGGAAAAAAATCAGCCAGAAGGTTGTGGCTGCAGTCTGAGCTCTCATGGCCAGCAGGTGGTTTTAGCAATGGGAAGGCAGTGGGGATGGCAAGATAATTATTTCAAAGCTGTTATGTTATGAGAAATCCTAGAAAGAGCCAAGAAGGATAAAATATCTCGTTCTTGGGATGCATTTGCATGGATGATGTTTTGCCCTGTTGTCAGTATGCCCAGTGTTACCCTATTTGATATCTCTTTCGATACAGTCCCCTTTATTTCAAGGGGAAAGACCCAGTGGGGTGTGATTGCCTGAGGCACATTATTTCCTAGGATGCCCACAAATCCTGAAGCAGCACGAGCCTCTGGGTGGAGGCAGGGACTTAGGCTCTCTGTTTTCTAATCTGTGAAATGGGGATATTCATGACCCCTCCCCTGCCTACTCTGAAGACTAGTGATGAACATCCAATGAGTGGATGAATGTGGACATGCTCTGGAAACAGGAAATCGCTATTAAAATATAAAGCATTAGTGTATCAGCTGTGTATAATGTGTTGGCAAATTGCATTTGATTTAAACCGATGTAGTTTCCCTGATGGCAGAATTGGAGAATGCTACACAGTGCAAAGAGTCTGAAATTGATGGCCAAAGGGTATGATTATTTAAAATGAGCAGCAGTGTTGTGGTCGGGAGCACTCCATAGAAAACAGGTCCCTAATTCTTCCCTTGATTTCTCTTCTTCGTGTCTGTGAATTGTCTGCAATTTAGTTCTTTAAAGAGATACCGTATCACTTTGTCAGATGGAAAGAAAAGAGCAAGTTCTTTGTTATCTTGGTGGGTTGAAAGATTTTAATGAAATCCATTTTAGACAACACCATCATCTAACTGAAAAATATATGAGACAAAGTAATTTTTGATGGTGATTATGGTTAAGGTTGGTGACTTAATAACCCTTATTATCTTTAAAAATCTATTCTTGCTGATGGTTTTTCTACAATAAAGAAGACTTTTAAAATTAAGATTGTATCAGCCTCTGTGTGTGTAGCTGGGTATTTCATTCAGTGAATATTGAGCATGTGCAGAGCACGGTGCAGATTGTAGCTTGAAAGAAAAAGGAAAAGAAAACCTGGACCCTGCCCAAATTTATTGAGCTTGGGGGACAAAATGCATCTGGCAGAGAGGGTAAAAGGCGTTTGTGACTAATAAGAGTCAGGTAAGTAATGCACAGGAGGGTGTCCTGGCACAATTCGTAAGAGCCGGCAGCTACAGCAGCCTGACGCTCTCAGAGCGCACTGTTGGAGGCCGAGCAGGGCTTCGAAGGGTGGGTGGTACAGGGATCACTAACTCCCAGGTGAATTTTTTACTTTTGTCCTTTTCAGTACTGCCTGGATCGTGTTATTAGAATTTGAAATGATGAAGCCATAGTTATAACCCGTGTCCAATAAGAATTAGATACCGGCTTATAATAACAGTGTGATAAAGTTTTTTTAGAGCACTTGCCTATATTTGCAATAACCATGGAAGGAAAACAAGGCTTGCATGATTTCCATTTTGCAGATGAGTAATTGAATTTTGCCTACTTCCACAAAGCAAGTGGGTCCAAAGGCCAAACAGTGCACAGCTCGGACAGCACAGTGAATTTACTACGAAGACACCACTGTGTCCTTCTCACTGTGGAAAGTAGTTCCAGTCTAAAACGATCAAGAATTTAGGACTTTAAAGAACTGAAGGCGGTAAATTGAAAATATAGATGAGGAGGGGACCATAGGCACCTCCTTAGGTTGGGATGTTTATAATTATATCATAAATATTTGTGGTAGGTGATAGTCCTTTGATATTGGGTCTGACATTTTGGATTTCGTCACTTAAAATGGAAATATGACAAGAGCAGGGCAAATGTATAATAAAATATGCCAAAAAGTGAAGTAGCTCTCATTCATTCATGTATCCAAAGGACATTTATTGTATACCTATTATGTGCCAGACACACTGGACTAAAAAAAGATTTTCCACTCAAGGAATTAATTGTTTAAAGGAGGAGACAGAAGGCAGCATACTTGTAAAAATTAACGCTAATTTACAAGAGGAGTTCTTCAACAGAGTCACGCATAAAGGGATTTGAGAGCACAGGACAGGACGCAGTGAATTCTGCTCGGGGGGCCTCACAGGAGCTGGGGTCTGAAGGGAGAGGAGAATTTTGCTGGCTGAGAACTCTCGCCAGAGGGAGAA